AAACCTCGTCCATTAAGTAGGCGACTTCAGCAAACCCGTTTTGTAACACGCAAGAGTGCGCAATAATTTAATTCAATCATTTTTTTTCAAATATATTGATATTTGCAGATGATCCCATGAAACCAAAAGTAGGAAAATGTAGCTGTGCAAAAGGCACAACCTGAATCTTCATGGGAGACATTAATAAAATTACTATGATAAATTTAAATTCTTATTATGATTACTATTTGCCATGATCAATGATACTGTTGTCCAATCCTAAAATAAATACATTTTGCAGAACTTACCAAAACACAGAAATGATTAAATAAAAATGCTAACAGTGACTCTCTTAAACATCTTCACAAATTGAAGTGCAAAACTCAAAACTGGGAGAAAATGTATACAAAGGAATGTTTCGGGAAAATAAAACTGTCTTATAATAACATGTTGGGGAAATTTTTTATGTATTTAATGAGAGTTTCAAGGAGTTCTTCAAACTAATACTTATTGGCGACTCTCTCAACTTCAGGAAAAACAGATTCAAGTAGGTTTAGTCTCTTTTTTTTATAATATCCAGTCCCACCTCTGTATTGATGGTGGTTGTAATGGATTACAGTAGCCGTGAGTTATACATTTCTGCTTTTACTCGTATTTGTAGCGTTTTGCTGAACATGCAGACTCGACTGCAGGACTTCACTTCTTTCTCTGCTGGCTTACTGGGAGACTTGGATGTTAGCGAGCAGCAGCAGAATAAGGTAAACATGAGTTTTTATGACTTTCAGATTTTTTTTTGTTCTATTAGAAGCTCAGCCTTCTCTCTTTGGGAAGGTCAAGTCTTTCTCTGTATTTATGAACATGTGCTCTTGTACTTTAGATTCTTCATTATTATGTTTTTTTATAAAAATAAAAAAAATCTCTGAAGATGTTTCGTCTCGTGTGTCTCTCCCACAGGCCATGGACAGAATCCTTGGCTCTCCTCAGTTTGGTAGAGCTGAACAGCAGCCTGAAGTCGCACCCAGGGACAAGTCTCAGATGATCTTCAGGTGGCTTTAAGTTTAATCCTGTTGTAATTCGTTGGTCTTGGAACTTACCTTAAAACATGGATATATGCTCCCCTGTACAGTTTTAGATGCCGAAAACAATCATGACGGTCCTGATTGCCAAATAATAATAATGACAACAAATGTTGCTTAAGGCTGGAAATTTAGCGAGCAATTAGATAACAACTTTAAACACAAAGATCAGAGACAGGAACACATGGAACATTTAAAATGTATTTTATTATCAATCAAATTTATAAACATGGCAAGAAGCCTTATATGAAAGAAAATTACAAAGTTTAGTGAGTTTGTTGGCAATCAAACTAAAACCCAATCCTTCACAACTGGGAAACACTGGTTGTGCTTTGTGACGTCACTGTTAGGACTGGGTGAAAATGTTTTAGGCATTCTGTTCATAAAGCGCTAAAAATACAACAAAAAATATTTTAAAAATATTCATCCTTCTCTAAACTATGAATGAACAATAACAAACTCGTAGAAAATTTAGAAAAAAATTAAATCCGGTGCTACATATTCGTTTACTGCCTGAATTTGTTTACTTTCTTAAAAATACCATTTAAGTAAATTTGTGTTCTTGCTGTCAAAAATATTAAGAACATATTAGTAATTTCAGCGTAATAAATAATTGTAAATCTCCGTTTATTATGCGTCGTCGAGCATAACCCCAGCCACTAGATGGCAGCAAAGTGTTTCTAATCTGATCCGCGGTACGTGTTGAATCTCAGTAATGTGCCATCTTGTTAGTGTGGTGGTTTGAGGTGAACTTGCAGCAACAGAGCTTAATAACTTGACTACCCACGCCAGCTTGTGTAGCTGCAGATGCAAACTCTCACAGTTGCCTGATTTCATGTGTTGCCTTGTTGCAGGATGCATCATCTGAGGGACGAAATGGAGCTTCTGGTCAGAGAACTACAGTGTAACAACAGCATCATAGAGAGGTGAGTTGTGTGAACAGCTTTAATTCTTTAAGCTCTTCCTCAGTTTGATGATATTTCTTGGATCTCACAGCCTCGGCGGAGTGAATTCTTCAGCTGCTCTGGAGGCCGGTCCGACCAGACCGTCTACACTGTGACATTGATGTGCAATCCTTGGATTTTTTTTTTTTTTACCTCTCAAAAACACATGCAGCGTCTCCTGCGATCACTGCCACTGATGAGCTGCGTGGTGGAGCTTCGATCTGTGGATGACTGTCATCAATATAAAAGGAAGCAGTCAGAGACGTTCAGTAGAATGTGAATCTCAATTTAAGATGCGGCACGAGGCTCAGATGAGTGTGTTTGTGTGAGTGTGTGTTTGCTGCCTGAGTAAAGCAGCTCAATGCAAACCTCATCGATGCCTTTTGTGTTATTGTATTTTTAATAGGCTGCCATAGCGATAGACTGTGGGCATGAAACAAAACAAATGCTCTGTCAGCAGCTGGAGTGTTTTATTGGTTGCATTTCCTGTTTTCCCTTCTGCCAGAGAAGCTCTCGAGAATCCAAACATTCTGCCTGTGAGTGCATTTACATCAATTCTGGTAGTCTACAGTTTGTGATAAAAGGCACTGATTAAATGCATTTAATCTTTTTTTTTTCATGTCTTTGTTTTCATAATTGTATTTAGTAAATCCTGATTTGTGATCATCTGTGTGTAGTATTGATTTTTTTTTTACCGTTTTATAAGTGGTTTGACATTTAAAGAGATTAGTTTTCATAGAAGATGCATTATTCTTTAAGAGGAAGTCCGTCGCTTACAGTAAATCAAGCAGGAAGTAGAAACAAGATGGATACAGCGACCCCTTGGTCATCTCTTAAAATCCTACTTGAGGCCTGATTAAAATTTGGGGTTTTGTATGAAATTGACAAGTTTTAATTGTTCTAATTTAATAGCTCCAGGTAATGTTATTGCAATGATTGTAAAAACAAATGTCAATATAAGCTGCTTGAATGAATCACAGTATTCCTGGTGACGACGATGGTCTATTAAAAATATTTAAAAAAAAAAAATATTTAGTATACTTTACTGGGATTTTGTGTGATTCACCACTAAAGTAAAGGGGGATTCAGAAAAAAAGCATACCATAGTTCTATCTTTATTACTTTTTTTTTAATATTGTTTATTAGCTCCATGTGGGTCTGCCACTTAAAATCCTAATAGTAGAAAAAGTCAAATATGGACATGTTTAAGGGGTGTGGATACTTTCATCAGGACTGTATCTGAAGTAATGTTCCTGTTTGTGTTTTTTTTGTTTGTTTGTTTTGTTTTGGGTTTTTTTACCATGTGATTTCCCTGAAAAGAGAGTAAACGTGGTCAGGGGAAACTCTGCAATGACCCTGCTGTGTCACCTCACTGACAGTACAGTAGAGTAACATTAAATAATCACAGTAGCTGTGATCAAACCTGCAGGGGAAATCCAGGGCATTATTTGTGGTTGAAAAAGGGTTTTCTCAAAGGGAAGGTGTTTATGAGTTCAAATGAACTTTATCCTTTCGCACATGCAAAATTTAATCCCACGTTTACTTTTTTTTTATTATTTTTATTAATCCCTTGAGATTTAACACATGATGTACGTTTCTCCATTGTCAAACACGGCCTTCATAAGATCAAATCAATTGTAAGTTTAGCATAATTTCAAAGTTATTACAACTTAGATGACAGAAAATGTGATGTTTTCTCACTGTGTGTGAGTGAGTGGGCGTGTTCGAGAAAGCCCTCGTAGTTTCAGTTTAGTTTGAGAGGGGGAGAAAGCGGGGGTAAATTCAGATGCCTCTGTGGGTTTTTAGCTGCTCATATGACGTGCTTTTGGCAAAGTGGAAAGTTCAATGTTCTTTTCTAGCCCACACTAACAAGTGAGACATTGTGTTGTTTTTCATACTGTTGAATATCTTTCGGTAAACACAGACGGCAATCCTGCAAAGTATTTATAAGACGGGATGTCTTGCTAAAATACTGAGGTCTATCTGTCTGCCCTTTTGTTGTGGTAGAATTTTTAAAGATACAATTCATTAGTTGCTTTTTTTTTTTTTTTCATTGACGTTGTTTGTGGATATCAAAAGCACAGAAACGTTCAGTTTCAGTTGCAGTCATAAAACACAAAGTATGAAAAAGGCAGAATTTGACTAGAATAACCCTGAAACCATTAACTGTTAATCTGTTTGGATTCCATCTGATTGGTTTCCATACACACAATATTAACACACTCCTGAATCTATTTTTTTTTTCAGCTTGTACTGTGTATTATATGTTTTTCCAGTACAGTGTTTCATTCTGAGTTCATTCTGCTTCATTTTAACCGAGCATATTATTACATCCTTAGAGCCTGGTATTTTCTTTCCTGCTTCTCCCCACTGATGTTATGCTGGATCTGCTCTGATTGGGTTTTCTGGCAGGACTGGGCTCATGATTTGGGTTTGATCTTTCATGGTGGCAGCATCCGAACCAAGTTGACTCAGCCAGTTTGGCAGAAAAAGATTGCTGAAGATTTTATATTCATGAAACCTGACCATTATATATATTATACATTTTTATTTGTTGTTGTGCATGTGGACCATGAGTCTGTTGAATAAATCAATCATATATAAAGTCAGATTTTCTATAATTAAAAATCTTACCAAGCGCCTCTCTTGTGTTAGGTAAGTTAGAATTACCCAAATTATTTCTGTCTGCTAAATTCCAGAAAAGTTAACGAGGACATTGTTTTTTTGTGTGTGTTTTTTTTTTTAGATATTTTTGTAGCTTTCCTCTAAAGTTTAAAAAGATAAAGTGTTAACTCGGGGAGGATAACTTCTACTTTCAGTATTAGGGAGTAATTCAGCATTTCTGCTTGTTTTGTCTGTGGAAAAAGGAGGCAAAAACACAAACCAAATCGTCTAGTGAACTGTTTCTCAGAAAGTTTCGGGCTCTCTAGTGAAAACCTCAGCGTGAACCTGTGTGAGCGAGAGCGCGCCCCCGACGCTCCGAACTGTGGCGCGCGCCCGGCATTTAATGCTCCTGATCCCCCGCGTCACTACGACAGATTTGTCACTGGCGGCAGCTGAGTTTACATTCGGCGCACGGACCGAAAACACTCAGCTGTCAAATACCTACACACTCCCAGCAGCCAAACACACAATCATTACGGGGAGCGCAGCGTAATGGCGTCTGTGAGCGTGGTGGGGCAGCAGCCCGGTCCACACAGATTGGACTCGGAACCGCCGATCCTGCTCTTCAAACTGTCCGGCACCAAGAAGAAAATCACGCTGCCGAGGAGGTCATCCTGGGAGAAGATGATGCTCGCCGGGAGCGGCGCGGAGAGCGGCTCGGACGCTGCTGAGGAGGAGTTGCGAACTCATCCTTTACGGCGTCCAGGACCAGCTGGAGGGATGATGCCCGCGGGAGGTTGCGGTGCCTCAGCCGGCCTCCAAGCGCCACGTAGCCCCACGCAGGATGGACAAGTGGGCAGCTGCGGCAGCGTTGCCCGAGGGATGGCCGGGCACATCACCAATGGCTACATGAGGTGTGACCCAAACCAAAACACGAGTTGTCGCAGGGGGGCATCGCCGAAGGAGCCCGGAGTCTGCGCCATGCCAAGCGGCACGACTAACAGAGCGAGGAGAGCACACCGGCACCGGGACGGGTCGCACGGGAGACGGGGCTCCCGGAATGGAGACGGTCACAGCGGACAACAGAGCGATTCATCCGCGGTCTCGCCTCCCGGAGAGCGCCGCGGACTGCCGCTGGAGCGGCTCACTCAGGGCAAGACTGGGGTGGTGAAGCTGGCCCGCACCGAGCCTCACCGCAGGGAGGCCTGGTCCATCTTCCCCCGAGAGATGGACCCCCGAGTGAGGGCAGAGAGAGGTGAAGGACACCGGTTCGAGACCAAGCCAGTGAAGCAGGACTGGTGTGACGCCTGCAGCAGACAGATCACAGCGCAGGGACTCAAGTGTCAAAGTAAGTGAAGCCTTTTATAATAATAACTGAAGACTGTTTTAGTTACACGTGGTTCCTAATCCTGCATTTCACTTGATATTGAAAAAAATATATATATATATATTTTCCTATCTGGTTCAGTATGAGTGAAGGGCATCCAGGGCAAGATGACAAACTGATTTCTGCTGTTGTTTGGCCACAGAGGCGGTCCAGATTTGCGTGGGACGACCTGTGAAATTAGATTTAAGATTCAAATTCTTCTATTAAACATATAACAGCACACAGTTGTTTCTTGCTCATGTCACAACTTACTCTTATTAGTCTCCAGTTATTGTCCACAAAATCATCGGACTCTATCAAAGACGCAAGTGGCAGCACAAGTGAGTTCCAGTAAATTTGCCATTTGAATTTTGCACAGCTCTGTTTGTAGAGGAAAGATCAGTACAAATTGCGTGGCAATTTATATATATATATATATATATATATATATATATATATATATATATATATATATATATATATATATATATATATATATATATATATATATATAAATCGTCAAAGTTACAAATTTAAAGCTCTGACTTCCGCATGCAGTCAAAGCACCTTTTGGGGCCCCCTGCTGGGCTGGGGGCCAGCAGGAGGAGATTCGCTGAGCTGCAGCTTAGGTTTTGTGCCTTGGGTCGACTCTGCTTATACTCAAAAAAAAAAAAAAAAAATGGAGCATGTCGATAAGTGTGTTGGGTATGGATATACCCAACCACATCACGCCTCTGACTGAACCAGAATCCTTCTGCGTAAATCCCTTTATCTTGTCCAACCAGCTCTGCCTCCCAGTGCTCCCACTCTCACCAGAAAGAAACTGGAGGACAGAGACTGGAATTCATGCTGCAACAATAAAACACTGCAAATAAAGAGACGTTTTCTGCGGCTTCGGTTAGCGGCAAGAAAACATGAGACCTAATGACATGTTGGGGGTTTAGTTTACTGATTGTAATGGACTACCTGAAAGGTGATAGCATTTTTTAAAATATTTTTATTTTTTTTTTAAATCACCTTTTTTTTATTTGGACTCCTATTTTCTGAAACAAAGTAGTCATTTTTAAGAAATAAATCGAAATGCCAGGAAACCCCCCCTTGGCCCCCCATCTGATAAATTAAGACACATTGATTGTAATTTAAAAACCCACTCACAAAGGGGGAAACCCTGTTATTTGACTTGTTTTTTGTAGAAAGCCAGGCCACCGCTTGATCTCTACCGTGGGACAAAGACAGGTTTAGCCAGGCTAATTTGACCTGGTCACGACTTTACATGTTTACAGGCAAACACGCCGCTGCTGTTTTGCCGCAAACACTTAACTCGACACCAGCAACCTTTGTGAGCTCCACGCCACCCATGTACTTGTATACGTGAACGTCTGTGTGTAAATGTGTGGTTGCTGAGCAAGCGTTGTGTCAGCAACAATCTGTGACAGGGAGGCTGCGTCTGCACAGCAGCGTGGGATAAACCAAATAGAGGACTGATTGAAAGTGATGAAAGAAGGGAGTGGAGAAGGGAACAGATAACGAATCAGTGAAAAAAAAAAAAAAAAGGAGAAGTTGGATTCTCTGAAAAAGTGTTGCTAACTTGACGGGAATGGAGAGAGACAAAGGAACTGCGAGAGGAGAAGAGACCTAACGTGGATGCGGGATGGAAGAAAAGAGCGCGAGTCGGTCCAGCACTACTGCGGAGCTGTCTGATTTAGTGCGCCATCAGCAGGAGCTCACTGAAGCAAGAGCGGAGATTACTGGAGCATTAATCACACGGAGGGGGACACGGACGGACACACAGTTTCCTTCACAGCACAAGAACTTCTTTCTTTGTGGATCAAAGAAAGTCGTTACAAATCCCTGTACAAGTGTTCACATTTCCTCAGGTTGAAACAGCGAGCCAGAGTGTGTTTGATTGGCTGTTGACGACACAGACACTTTGTTTCAACACGGCCTGAGTCAAATAATGAGGCGATTTGCAGGACTCTGGATAACTTGACTGGATAGGTGGGGGGGTGAAATGTTGTGTTGGAGATAACATTGATAAATATTATGATGACACTGTCAGTTGCCACACACTCCCATTTTCTCTATTCCTCTCTGTCTCATCTGCGGCTGCGTCACCCTGTGACTTTTAGCATTTTGGGCCGTGTCATTAGCGTCTGGTGTGAGCATTTCCTGTGAGGCTACTCCATTCACTTGGCTAAATATTGAATTAGCATGTAAAATGCAAGTTAACAACTCCTGGAATACAGTAGCCAACAATTACTGCGCTCCAATCAGTAACTTGCAATGTGAATATTGCACACAATGATGCAGTGACGGCGAAATATTTATGATAGTTTGTGGTGGCATAGACCATTAGGCAACAAGCAGCATTGTAAAGACCAATGAAGACAGCAGACAGGTCAGTGACGGTGCGCTGTAGAGACGTCTGCAGCCGGATTAGTGCATAAAACCAACATCCCAAGGTCTGAGCTTCTCAAACAGTGAGTTACTAGTCGTTCACTCAACAAATCTCATGTCAGAGTAGCAGGAAGGCAGCGAATTGTTCAAAGTATATGGTTGTGATCTGACAAAACATAAAAAAAAAAAAAACCCTTCAGGGGTATGAGAGCTTGTGGAAGGCATCGCAGCCCTGCTTTGTTGCCAGCTGCCAGTGAACCTCTGCTCTCTTCTTCTGTGATGCTATCAGAGGTGAGAGTTCTGCAGAGTCCCGAGGGCAACAATACAAAGTCGGTCCTTTCGGGGGTATGCTCAGGAAAGAAAAGCAAACAGACGTGTCAAAATAGCAGCAGCACACACGGAGATGTAATTGCCTCTCCTCTACTCCCATCAAATAACAGGGGACGAGAGACGGAGATTTGCAGCCATGAACATTATTCTGCGTCTTTGTTTTGGTCGCTTTGCTCCGTCGGCACTTCTCGGATTTATCGCCCTCCCTCAGTGTGCTGCAGCGTGCTTGCAGAAGCCGGTCCCACTGGGACTCCCGTGGCATTTTGCCCCCCCAGAGGAATCTGCCCGTCTAACGTCGTCGCCCAGCCTCGTCGTCTGACTTTTATCTTTGTGGGTTTAGCTTTTTTAGTTTTTATTTTCATTCCTCGTCTTGACAGTTAGATGAGAGTGTCACGGGTGATATAGCGCTCCCACTTAAAAAACACATGACAGGCACTGCACAAAAAAACAAAAAAAACTGCACCATGTCTTTTAATTTGACTGTAACTGGGCAGACAATGAAGCATAGCTCACTCAACCCCATAGGTTTAACGGTCATAATCTGTTGTTGAGTCAAGAGGCATGCAGACTTATGCTGAAGAGATGTTCAGCTCTATAAACTGAACAGAACACGAGCAAACATGAGCAAACTCACTGACCCCAGCCATCAGTCAGAGAGCAACAATGCAAGAAAAAAAAAATCCCACTCAAAGCAGTTAGCTGTTTCTCTTGGTTTTTAAGCACAGTGGACTCCTGTCTAGCCACAGTTCAGAACTCAACCTGACACCAAGTTATTCGCAGAAATAATCCACCTTCTCACGGAAACCTCCATTGAAATACCTCGGCGCAGTGCGAGTTAACACATTATTGGCTGGCGTCTGCAAAGCAGCCAATCCAGGAGGGCCATTCATTTTTCCTGGTGCTGGTTGGCTGTGTCTCCCAAAAGCGGAAATAATTAAGGGTGTTGATATCTGCTTATGTGTAGCACTGAGACTGTTTCCACTGTGTGTATTAATGGATATTAATTTATATTTGGCATCCGAAGTATTGAAACAGGCAGTTAGATGTGTTTGTAGAAGGTCTTTAATGTATTTGTGGATTTTAGCTATTTGCAGACAGTTGTGACCCCTACACTTTGTGAACAGTGGGGGTCCACTATAATCTGATTATTTATAGTCATAAAAATACTAAAATTAGATGTAAAATAGTACTTAATTGTATAGAAATTTTTTGAAAATTGTTCATTAAACCCCATTTCCATCAGTTGTGTTTTTCATCTCCATTTGTGGAACATTTTGGCCTCTTGTGAATTATGAGCAGTTGCCTTGCAGCAAGAAGGTCCTTGGTTTGAATCTTGAGCAGAAACGTTTGTGCATGGAGTTTGCAGGTGGTCCTAGTTCAAGCATTGGTTCTCTCCAGATATTCCAGCTTCCACCCAAACATAAATGTAGACACTTTGCCTTGGTGTTTTTTTTAAATGCATTAAAATTCTAATGTTTAATGGTTTGCACATAGTACATACAACATAAATCATGTAAAAATTCAGTAGTATAAAAACTCTTTATCTGGGTTATTTCATTTAAGATGTCATATCAAATGACATCTTAAATGTCATTTAACATTAAAAGTGCGTTTCCTTGATTTAATTAGTAGATTCTCGTCATCTCGGAGATTTGAGTGGGAATGGTCTGGGAATGGCAGCCACTTTAATCCCAGCTCTAAATGTCTTCTGTCTAGGATTAAATCCCAGGAATAGAGTCGCTGGGATTACAGTCAGATGTCAGATTAATATGTGATTTAATGTTTTCAGGCTCTCATACTGCTGTGGATCCAGAGCTTTGACTCCTGGATTTTGGTGGTCTCCTTTGTTCGGTCTCATGCTTCTACACAGCCACATTTTAAGCAGTAGCTACTTGAAACCCGCCGGTTAACGACGGGGCTTAGCACCCAAGCAGCAGAGGAAGACATGTAATGATCAGTTACATCTTAAAACGTGCATTAAGAGTTCGTTCGTGCATAATTAAGCATGATTATATATATTTTTCACTAATTTCAGATGGGCAATAACCATATTTAACAACGTTCCAGACCGTAAAAGCATTTCAAGTGCTTTTTCATCATGGCCACACAGTCTGTGCCTAAAAGTGTTCTTTCTAAACCATTTCATATTTTTTTTCAGCTGAAAACAGCAGACAGCAAACTTTGTAAGTGATGACCAAAATGATTTCAGTTCACCATTTAAAATCTGCTGCACTAAAACAAATGCAAACTTCATA